GCATGTGGTGCTGGGGGATTGAACCGCGGTCCCTGTGCTTTGCTAAGATTGTTCTAAGTAGGTGCTTTAGACCACTGAGCCATCTCACCAGCCCCTTTTTTGACTTTTTAAGATAGGATTTTGCTCTTCAGGTCAGGCTGGCCCTGAACTCACTTTGTAGCCCAGGCTGAACCTGAATTCACAGCGATCCTCCTGGATCATTCTTCTGAGTACTAGGATTATAGGCATGCACCACCACACCTGGCTTATTTTTCTTTGGAAAAATTTTAAAAACTGATTTTGAAGAAGGTATAATATTTGAGAAATGATTTTTAAAGTTAATATGTTGGGATCATCTGTTATGATGCTGGACAGTGGGTACATGCTCAGTGGCATTGTGAAAAGGTTAACATGTATATCATTTTTCAACTTTCTTCCAACTGTTAATTATTTGCTATCAGGTTTGGGCCTTTGTTAAAAGTATAAAAGAAACACACTTTGTAAAAATAAAATTTATTCATGCAATGTAAATATAAAGACCAATCAACACAGAAGCTTTTTCTTTTTTTGTCAAGATCAGCTAGTATCCTTTCATGCCTACACACCCATACTATACACTAACTTCTGGAAGTACAAACACGGCTATCATGCAGCTTGCATACAGTCAGTGTTAGCTTGCCACACATGGTAGCACACACCTGTAACCCTAGCACTTGGGAGGCTGAGGCAGGAGGATCACTGTGAGTTCAAGACCAGCCTGGGATACAAAGTGAGCTCAAGGCAGCCTGAATTATATAGCGAGAACCTGTCTTAAAAAAAAAAAAAAAGTTGCTGTTAGCTTAAACTAATGTCCAAAGATTTACTGCCAAGGATTTGATACTTTCAGCTGAAATTTCTGAAAGTCTGGGACATTCTGGATAACACATAAAAATAAAGGAAAAATTAAAACGCCTATGTTCTGATGTGGCATTTACAGGAAGGTAGAGAATACTCCGTGACTACCGTTCCTCTCAGGAGGCAGACAGAACAGGATATGGGCCTGGTCCCCATCCCTGCCCTTGAGCTCAATGGAGGAACTCTCCCTGCCACAGTCTCTGTGTACCTGGAACATCAGGCCTCTTACAGAGCATCTGAGTCACAGCCTGCTGCAACCTGCTCTTGAGCTATATTAAACTAGATTTAAAGAATGGCTACACTCTGACAACAAAATTACGACTTATATATACTATCATTTATGTTTCATGCAATATTTATGTATCTCACAAATCTAGTTGCACCCCAAATTCAGGTTTCAGAAAGTTTTCTTTTTTTTGGTGGGGGAATAACTGCTAGGGATCAAACCCAGGCCTCAAGCATGCTAGTTAAGTGCCCTACCACTGAGCTATATTCTCAGCTCCTAGATCGTATTCTTAATCGTTAAGGAAGAATTTGTATGTTTTGACACTTGTATTACATTTTTAAATTTATTCAGAAACTGAATGATTGGTCTCACTCAGGCAATGACAGGGTATTCAGAAGACCTAATTTTGACTTCATGTACAGTAAGAAATGTTAAAATATGTTTTATGTTATAAATTCCTAATTGCAACCCCCAGTCCTCAGTTATGATACATATACAATTTCTGTTTCTTAAAATTTGACAAGAAATGCAATACTATAGCAATTATGACCTCCAAAAAGTGTTCTCATGACAAAGACATCTTGAGATTGACTGGAAAATTAATATAACAGTGGCTTCTTTAATAGGTTTTCAACTTTAAAAGGAATGTACATATCCATAAGCATTAGTTGTATATTTTTAAATAGGTTACTACTTTATTTGTAGGGGAAAAGTAGTATTATAACTATACACAATAGGTTAAGAAAACTGTAACAAATACACATTTCTATTAAGCAGATGTAACAGTTGTTAAGAGACAAAAAAATTTATAAGCTGACTAAAAGCACTGCTTCAACTCTGCTTTACCTGCTCTTTTTCAAGCATGTCTGCTTTACGGAGGATTTTCATTGCATATACATGCCCTGTATCTTTTTTCTGAACAAGCCGCACCTAGAATGTGATAAAAGAAATGCTGTTATGGCTGTATCTGGAGGCCCCCCAAAGCCTCACAAGTCACAGCTGGGCATTTTAGAGCTAGCTAGATCCAGTGTGTGTGATGCTGGGAATAAGTGTGACACTGGGATCAAGGGTGTGCAATTACACTATTCTAATAATTGGTCTGGCACAGTTCTGGACATAGATAATGGGAAGGTCCACCCTATGTGAGAGTCCTACCTACCCTAAGGTAGGGCGTGTAGCCTGGACAGAATATAAAGGACAACAAGAGTGCTGCTGGCTTGCTGACTGCTGCCTGCTGTCTCCTGCCTGCCCTGCTTTGCCATGGACTGCTTCTCCTCTGTGATGCCCTCTGCCAACCCATCCTGCCTTGGAGCCAGCTAACCCGGGACTGAACCCTCTACAGACTGTGAGCTAAATAAACTTTTCTTTCTTTAACTTTGGGTGTTGGGTATTTTGCCTCAGCAATGAGAAAAGTAACAAGATAAATTGAAGTAAAAAATTCACACTTCCAAGTTAATGTTTTAATATGTTAATAAAAAATGTTTTTTTCTTCTGAAGCCTAGGGATAGAGCCCAGGGCCTAACAAGTAATATTTTAAACTGAGAAAGTATTATAATTTGAATATAAGTAACTAAGAGAAAAAAAGAAAAAAAACATTTTCAAAATTTCAGAATGATCACGTGTGTCTAAGAGGATTAATGCCAGAGATAGCTTCAAGATATCGCTATACCTCAATACTGTTGTTCCCTAGTTGAACAGACCAATCCAATTTAAAACTTTATTTTGAAACTTCTAAGCATTTGTTAAATCCCTCACAGATTATTATCCAGTCTGCTCAGAGAACCTAAGTAAATAATTACAACAATGAAAGTAAAAGCTTATACACAGGAAAAAAAATCTGGAGGTTATTTTAAAAAAAAACCTCTGCAGTGTGTACTTAGGGCAATGAGATTTCATGCAGTGTTTCTTTCTTCTACATTTTTCAGTTTTAACAGAGAACACATAATTCTATGATAAAACAAAAAACAATGGACTGCAAACCAAAAGAAAAAGCTTGTTAAGTTCTCGTATATCCTCCCCTTCTTTTCCAAGATAAGGAGGTTTTATTTTCCCTGTACCTTTGTTCATGTTCTCTTACTGAGTTTTATGTCCCTTCCTCCTTGAATAGAAAGCTTTTTTCCCTCTTTGGGATATTAGGGATAAGCTCAGGGCCTTCACACTGATCCACAGCTGTGGCCCTTTTTGTTTCTTAAGCTTGTGTTTATTAGCATATGTATTTTTTGAGATAAGAGTTCTGCTAAGTCTTCAGGTTTTGCAGCTTGCAATCCTACTGTCCCAGTCCTCAGAGGAGTGCTAGGATTATACATGTGTAGCTGGCTGGAAGTACTTTTACGAGCACTTTCTCTCTCTCTCCGGGACATCAGGAATTTTGACCACTGAGGAATCTGTTTTATCTTTACCTGTGCCTTTGAAATATTACAATTCCCCTGCATACTGTTTTTGTTTTTGTTTTTTTTTTTTTTTTGCGAACCAGGGATTGAACTCAGGCCCTTGCGCTTGCCAGGGAAGCGCTTATTCCACTGAGCCATCTCCCCAGCCCCCACATACTGGTTTTAATAATATGATACTCTTCTCTCTAGGTTAATGTAACCATCACATCAATAGATTGCTCACTTTAGATGTTTTCCATGAGTAAGAATGACTGCATGGGCTCATTTAAACTGCCTCAACAGATTGCTCTTATGATTAAGCAGGACTTTGATTTATCAGAGTAGCTGGCCAGCTAGGCATGGTGGTGCATGCCTGTAATCTCAGCTACTCAGAAGGCTGAGGCAAGTTAAAGTTGCCGGGGCAACTTAGCTAGACCTTGTATCATAATAAAATGTTTAAAAGCACTAAGAATGTATCTCAGTGACAGAATGACATTTGCCTCACATGTCTAAGGCCCTGGGTTCAATTCTCAGTGCTAAAAAAAGTGACTGGAGCAAAACTGAAAATGCTATCAATTTCACATCCCTATCTATATAATTCTCTACCACAAATTCTGCTTTCTATAATCATCTTTTTGGGGATATATGAATCTGGTGGGAAGAACGAAAAAATGGTGTTATATTTTGTGTCTAGATGTCCCCCTTAAGCCTCATGCAGTCATGGTGACAGCTTCTAGAGTTGTGATTAATTCATCTAATGTTGGAATTATGGGTTTGATTGCTATACCCACTGTAGGGTTGTCAGACTGCATAGGGTATGAGAGAAAGAAAGAGGCTTGGGCTGGGGAGATGGCTCAGTAGAATAAGCGCTTCCCTGGCAAGCACAAGGGCCTGAGTTCAATCTCTGGTCCTGCAAAAAAAGAAAAGAAAAAAAAAAAAAGCAAGAGGCCTGCTCTCACCTCTCTCGCTTGTGGCTGTGCCATGAATGGCTTCCCTCTGCCATGTGTCACTCTGCCCTGGAGCCAGCTAATGATGGACAACCTTCACAAACTGTGAGCTAGATAAACCTTTCCTCCTTTAACTCCGGGTATTGGGTATTTTGTCTCAGCAATGAGAAAAGTAACTAAGAGAGACTGTGATACACTTTACTCCGGAAACTGTGATACTGGGAAATGCAAGAGCTTGAAATTTAGGAAGACATGGGCTCAACTCATGCCCCCAGAACGCAGCAGCTGGATGAGAGGGGGACAGTATACACACCACCCAAGGTTGCAGTTCATCCTCCATACAATGAGCTATCACGGTGATTATGGAAGAAAAGTACTACATGAATAATAATTTCCTTCTCCCCTAAACTTCAAATCTCTAAATCAGTACTCAAAACACTAATATCTAGCAAAACAGAAAACAACAGATTTTGGACAGTCAAGAGGGGAAGAAAGAGAGAAAGAGGCCAGACAGAGCAACTAGCATGTGAGTCTTACACACTTGACCCACCTCACCCCATATATTCTGGTTATGCCAACAACCATAAGCTTACAATGTGTTGGAAACTTTGGAGTTCTGTGGTATTTTTGTACTTGACAAGTAGCTGTGGTTTTTACCTCACCAAATGCTCCTCTGCCTATGACTTTTAAGGACTCAAAATCTTCCAATCCAAGTCTCGTTCTTTTCAAACGAAGAAATTCTGTTTCCTTTCGGGCATGTGCCGATCTCCTGAGTCGTTTCTAATGTTTAAATAGAAGAAGGGAAAGGGAAGAGGCTGAAATTCTGAAAAATCATTTATATCCCTCCCAGCTGGAAAGCAGGGCCATTAAGAGGTGGCTTCTCCTTTCCCTGGCCTTTAGACACCATAAGCTAGCCTCGCTGGGCGAGGGTGCCTCCTCTGAGAACTCTAACCAATTTACTTGACAACTCACTTCTCAAACATTTCTAAGAGGAAAAGCCAACACCTTTTCTTACACAGTGCAGCTCCTCATATGTGGAACTTTTGGAGATTCCCACAAGTAATCTGTCTGGGTCACTGACGGGGTTCTGTGCAATTTCTCCTACTTCTAAAGCTTTCCCACATAGTCACGAGCTGCCTTTCCACACCTGTGAGCAGTGGGCAGCAGGGCCAATTTGAGACAGGTCTTTGCCTCGACAGTGACTCCAGAAACCTGCCTCATTTGTATGGAGCTTTCTTTCCCAATGAACTGTGTAAGAACACCATCTTTTGTTCTTTTAAATTTTAAATTGATTGATTTCATTCTTTTCCTTAGAATTCCAAACCTAACTGATTATTATAACTGTGCCTAGAGAAGTCTTCCTCTCTTAATCTCCCAAATTTAGAAAGATATCCGCCCTTAAGTTTCTCTGTATCTGAGCCAAAACCCCATGCTGGACACCAGAGTTCACTTGATGGATAAGACACAGGCATCCATTCTGTATTCCACAAGAAAATTCCAGTAATTAATACCTCTTCATCTTTTAGGCCTTCTTCTTCCATCACTTTTTCTAACTTCTTTTGTCTAAAAGAAACAAGAAAAATATATGAAAAAAAATCTGAATAACTTTTTATGCAAACATAACTTGTTCTTTTTTTAGAATTTTATTTATTTATGTGTTTGTGTGTGGCCAGCTCAGCTCACCAGGGGGCGGGGCTGGCTGGCATGTGGTGCTGGGGGATTGAACCGCGGTCCCTGCGCTTTGCTAAGCTTGTTCTAGGTAGGTGCTTTAGATCACTGAGCCATCTCACCAGCCCATAACTTGTTTTTTAAATTAAATTATTTATTTGGAGAGGGTCTCATTATGTAGCCCAGGCTGACCTTGAGCTCACAGAAATTCTCCTGCCTCAGCCTCCTGACTGGTAGAATTACAGGTGTGAGGCCCCAGACCTGGCAAACAACTTGTTTTGAAAAAAAAAAAAGACAAACTCAGGCAAATCTACAATGCTTCATTCCAATAAAAAAGAATTTAACTACCGTACTGGAAGTGAAAATATTCCCACCCTCTACTAGATGCTATGTTCTCAAAAGATAAATAAATGCAACACAGAACAAAAGATTTTCATTATTTCAAAATTGAATCTTTTCCCCTCCTCCTCCTAACCGTTCCTCTATGCAGTCATATTCTCCTAGCCAAACCACAATAGTTGGTATTTAATAACTTCTTATATGTAAGTATTTCTCCCTGACTGAAATCTGCTTCACTTTCATCTTCTTCTTTGTCCTTGCCAAAAACAAACAGTAACAAACAACAAAGGTAAAGGCAGAAAGTGAAGATTAGGGAGAGGGAATCAAAAAAGGTGATTGGCACTGCTACCAAAACTTAACCACTACAAGTCTCTGGAATACTTAACTTTAATTTAAAAACTGCATCCAAGGTGCTAAGGACTGAACTCAGGACTTTCTATAACTGAGCTACCCTCACACCCTCCATCTAAGAATGTTTTTGATCAATGACTTCATCTTGGTTTTATAAAGCTAAAAAGCCCGGCTGTGGTGGTGTACGCCTGCAATCCCGGCACTTGGGAGGCTGAGGCCGAAGGATCCTTGCGAGCCTGAGACTAGCCTGGGCTACAAAGTGAGTGCTCAAGGCCAGCCTGAACTGCATAGTGAGACCCTTGTCTCAAAAAAAACCACAAAAAAAATTTACTGTAGTTATTATGTTATTACGCTCTGACTTTGCGTACTCTTCCCTACTCAGCTGTGTGGCTGCTGAGATGGAATTAGATTCCTGAAGGTATCAGCAGCACAGCCTTCCTCCTTTGATACGCGCGCACACGTAGATGTGTATCTGAAAATGTGCTGGGAGCTGGGTGAGAGAGAGACGTGGGGATGTCAGGAACTATGTAGGTGCCCTTCTCTTTCTGTCAGGATCAGATGCATCTTTTTGCTTCCCAAGAGTTTGGACATAAATTCTTACTCGTTGTTTGGTCCTAGAGATTTGTTACATGACTTCTGACAAAGTATTCATTTTAACAGAGTGCTGTTACTATAACAGACATTCACTGACCAAAATGAGACTCATTTTCTTTCCATGTTCCTCTCTAGACTTCCCCTCTTGGTTAGTGGCAACATTTTCTTTCTGACAGGAAAATCTAAGACTGTTTCCATGACTCTTACTGCCAGCTGGTCTTTGTAATAGACTCCTTCATTTTGTTCTGGTTTTCCAGCCTTAGTGCCACATCTTAATTACACATTTGAATTAATAAAATAGGTTTTAATTAACCTCATGTGTCTCAGTTGTTCTCCTTACTTGTTAGTCTGTCAAATCCTTACTACTGCAGGCTGCTATTCTGAAATAGAAGTTTTGCCAGAAGGCGGCACACGCCTGTAATCCCAGCACTCAAAGGCTGAGCAGGAGGATCACCATGAGTTAAATGCCATCCTGCACTGTCTCAAAATAACCGCCAACAATTCCATCCCATCACTGCTTTGCATACACGCTTCTGTTAGCTCCCAGTGGCCTTCCTAGTAAGTACTGACCTGACCCGCGGGGTGTATGAGCCCCACTGGGCTGTATGCCCTTGCTTCAGCACACCACACACTTACTCTTTCCTGTGTATTTAGAATGTGGAGAAGTGGTGGAGAGATTCCAGTCCATGTGCCTGCTTTTATGATGCTGAGTAAATGAAGGTTCTATAAGGAAGTTTTACCTATTTCTTTTATTTTTTATTTACTTATTTATTTTTTTTTAGGCAGGCAGGGTCTCACTATGCAGTTCAGGCTGGCCTTGAGCACTCACTTTGTAGCCCAGGCTAGTCTCAGGCTCGCAAGGATCCTTTGGCCTCAGCCTCCCAAGTGCCGGGATTGCAGGCGTACACCACCACAGCCGGGCTTTTAGCTTTATAAAACCAAGATGAGGTCACAGATCAAAAACATTCAGCCTGGTCTTTGAACCTGAATGATCTTCCTGCCTCAGCCTCGTGAGTGCTGGGATTACAGGCATGTGCCACTGTGCCCAGCTGGTCATTTTTTTTGGTGTCATCCTATATCCCCCACTGTTCTGACTGACCACACTAGGCTAGGCTACAAGTCTAACATGCTATCTAATGTCGCAGAACTGGCCTTCTGACTATAATTCAAAACTACATAGAAACTTGAAAGTTTCCTATAGCTTTACTGCAAGTGCAATTAAACTGGTTTCAGTGGAACACCTGCCTGGGAGTAAAGTTATCAGAAAGCAAATCCTTGAACATAATTAGATTATTTCATGATTAAAGTATGAAAAAAGAAAGAAAGAAAAAAATCTGTCGTGACAATAACTTACTGGGATCTGGTCTATAAAACCTTGAGAATACCCAAAATACCAAGCAAGTCTGATACTGGGCTTTAAAAAGACATCCTTTGTGGGATGACACCAAGGAACTAATGTGAACATGGTTTGAGTCATTCTGACATTTTGATAATTAAAGAAAATGGTCAGATTTTGGGGATGTTTATTGAAGTAAAAAATGACAGCTACCTGTATTTAACTTTAAAACACAATAGCAAGAAAAAAATTACAGTGAAGCCAGGCATAATAGTGCATGCCTATAATCCTAGCTACTCAGAAGGCTGAGACAGGAAGATTACAAACTTCAGGCCAGTACTGAAAACCTGTTTTGTTGCTGATTATTATTATTATTATTATTATTATTATTATTATTTTATTTAGTACAGGGTCTATAGGGTCTCACTACACAGATCAGAGTTGTAGTAATTCTCCTATTTCCAGCTTCCCAAACATTGGGATTAGAGGAGTGCACTACCACATCTAGTCTCAATCGATGTCTCAGCATGCCATGGGGGCAGGGCCGGCAAGGCAGGCCAGGGATCGAACCTCTGACCCCCTGCATCTGCCTTGGCAGATGCTTTAATCTGCTGAGCTATCTGGCTGGCCCTATGTTTTAAGATATAAACAAACAAACAGGTTGGTGATGTAGCTCTGAGCCCATCCCTGGGTCTCACATCTAGCATTTCAATAAATTAATAAAATGAGATCAATGAAGCAAATGTAGCAACATCTTAACAATGATTGAACCTGAAGGACAAATACACTGGAGAGAGGCTTACTGTATTTCTGTGATTGTCTGAAATATTCATTATGAGAGAAAGAAAAGAAGCTAGCCCTTCATAGGCATACTGCTGGTAGCAGTACGTGCTAGCTAACTTTATGGTATCAATCTATAATGTCCTCTAAAGTCTCCTGTATTCAGAGATGGGGCTGCTGGGAAGTGACTGGACCACATGGGGAGGGGACCTCCACCAATCAGAAGACTCAGCAGCTGATGGGTGCATCCCTGCAGGTGCTGCTCAGAGTGTCTGGGAGCTGGGTCACTGGGGCTGAGCTGGGAGAGTACTCCTGTCCCCAGCTACCCCTGTCCCTCTGCGTACTAGCTGTCACAGAACACGCAGCTTTTCTCCATCACTCCCTCCCACCATGATGTCTCTGCCTAGAGCCAGTCGCCACGGACTGAAGCCCACAAGAGGGACTGTAAGCCAAGTTAGCCCTCTCCTCCTTTAATCTGTGGGTTTCAGGTACTTTGTTCAGTCATGGAAAAGTGATTAATGCAGAAAGCTGATAAAAGGAATGGGTTATTGGTATCTGATCTTGTGGTTCAGAAATTTTTGGAACTAGTTTGCTGCATGAGTTTGGAAAGGTTTATAGATGCAAGCTAGAGAAGCCCTACAGTCCTATAAACAAAAGCTTATGGGTGATTCTGGTCAGAGCTCAGAAGAGCAAAATGTTGATGGGAATGCAGATAGTAAAGGTCCATTTCAGGAGGTTTCATTTGGGGATAAGATTCCACTTGCAATTGGACTAGATGTACTATATTCTGACGATCTAAGTTCTGTTCATGCCAAATATTTTGTGAAGCTGGGTGTGGTGGTATATGCCTGTAATCCCAGCACTCGGAGGCTGAGGTAGAAAGATCATTGTGAGTTGAGACCAGCCTGGCCTATAAAATGAGCTCAATGCCAGCCTGAACTGCATAGCAAGAGCCTGTCTCAAAATAGACTTTGTGAGGCTGATTACAAATATGGCAGAAAATAAGCCCAATGTTCAGGCTGCAGCATGGGTGCTGCTCTCTGCTTCTCACCATATTTACAAGGAGAATCAGCACAAAGCACAGCTGAATTTGAAAAAAAAACTGTAGCTTGGCCAGATAGGAAGCTCCAGTAAAGCTGGGACTAAGGAGAACCTGCTAAAAAGATCAGCAATGGGGGCCCGCCCATTAGCTCAGTTGTTTAAGTGCCTGCTTAAACAAAGCAGTCAGTCTCTGGGAGCGGGGGTTCCATTCCCAGATACTCAAGGCAATCCAGACCAGCGCTGGAGGCAATCTGGAGCCACCAAAAAAAAAACAACAACAACAACAAAAAAAAACCCTTCTGCAGTAAGGGCTGGGGAGATGGCTCAGTAGGATAAGTGCTTGACTGGCAAACTCAAGGATCTGAGTTCAATCCCCGGTTCCACAAAAAAAAAAAAAAAAAAAAAAAAAAAAAAAAAAAAAAAAAATCAGCATTTCAAAGAAGTCAAGTACAAT